CGTCTTTGAGGCGGTAATATGGAGTGAAGCTACTTGGCACGGAATTCTCAGAAAGAAAGTAAAAACTACTTGGCACGGACAGAAGGTGTGCGTCGCCGTCGCCGCAGAATCTCCACCGATACAGCGACGACGACACGAAAAGCGACGGTTAAAACAAATCGGCCGACGCGGACGGGGAAACCGCAGATGCAGCTCACGGTAGAAGAAAAAGGAATTAACGAATAAGGATGGCCTGATCGATCGTGGCGCCTTTGGGAAAACGGACGATTCTAGCTTACGCAACCGGCCGCTGATCATCGCACAATCACGGGCGGCTTTATGATTGATAAATATATCGTTAAAATTTGCGCTCCTTGCATATGGATTGGACGATAATGGAGAGTCGCTCAGGTTAACCGTAAGCCGGAGGGATCCGGCTTGTCTGCTCCCTACCATGCTTTCATTTGTGCTCCCATTTCATCATACGTTTGTTTTTTTTCCTTTTTTCTTTCTAATCTAATCATTTTTCTCTCTGATGTTAAGGGATGTGACCGAGCCTTATTTTGTTTCAATCAAATCAAGCCACGTATGCGGGAGCACGGATAAGCACACGTCAGGGGAGCAGGCAAGTCTCGTCAGGTATGGACGTGTGCAACTGCTCAACCACTGTGTGCACGCCTGAACTACTGGCTGTGCTACCGTACGTGCATGCACGATATACTATTACGTCTGCGGCTTATTAGATGATGTTAGCTACGTGTCCTGGGGCAACTTGAGCAGAATAGTTGCTCGGGGCCGTACCGCCCACTCTCATTTATTAAACAAATGGAGCTCCCGTTTTCTTGAAACAAAAAATAATGCTCGGCAGCATCTACTCTTTCGTTTTAACAGAAACCACCAGGTCCTTTACAGCCACTGAAACAAAAAATTAAGAAACATCACACACCGCTAGTACTAGCCACACAACCTTTTTTTTTGCGAAAAGTACTAGCTACATAACCTATGGCACCTACCCAGCTCAAGCTAAACCATGATCCATCGAAGATCACAATCAGCAGGTGCCTAGGAAGAAGTATATAGGAAGCAACGAACGTTTGAGACGTTGATTATCCTATTCATTTACTGCAGGCAACAAACTCCAAACCACAGCGCAGACTCTTTAAACATCCATAACAACAAATTTGAAAGCAATAGCAGACTGGAGAGCGGTTTAATAAGATGGCCGTATGCATCTTTCTGATGCAGAGGCCGGGGATTTCCCTTTTTTTAAAAAAAAAAACAGACTGAAGAGCGGCAAATAGCCAAAAAGAGTTTCTCCATTACCAGTTCCCAAGTGAAATAAAATTTGAACTCAAGATGGCACTGCTCCTCTTTTCCTTTTCTTTTTTTTTTTGGGCGTAAGCTACTACTACATGTTTGTTGAACGTTGGTTCTTCCATATATGGCTCCCAAGTGAGGCTGAATTTAACCTTGATCTTTTTTTTGAATTTCACAGAGCATCGTCCGTCCGTCCAGCATATTTTAATTCTTCTCAGGGTTTTTAGAACCCTTTGAAACACACTTGTTTTCCTATACCGATTCTCATCGATTTCCCACCCCCTAACTTGGGAAGCGTTTCGAGATGGTGCGCCGGCCGAAGCTTCGGCCGGTTGCCTCCCACTTGTGCGTCTCGTTCGGTGCGGCCCATGTACAAAGCCCACGTAGCATCTATGTAGCATCCCGCAAGACACGTACCTGTCCAGTTGCTTCTATTTTTTTCCTGAGCAAAGCCAACCGCACATGCCTTATCTTCTCATCCCCTTATCCACCCGCGTCTTCGGTCTTCTTCTTCTCCAGCAGCAACACATCTTCCATGAGAGCCATCCACCAACGATCTCCTCTAGCCATGCCGCATCTCCTCCAACCAGCGGAATCACAACCATAGCCATTGCTGCAAGCCTGCAACCACGGGCACACACTGGACGGCGAGGACGAGGCGGTGCTGCTCCTAGCAAAACTGGCATAGATTTGCTACATGCTTCAACCGGCATAGATTTTGCTACAACTGGCACAACATTTTGCTACAACTAGCATCGCATTTTGCTACAACACACAGTCGGCGTCGCGGTTTTGCTACAACTAGCCTCGCTTTTTGCTACAACCGGCATAACGTTTTGCTACATCCATCACGAACGAGTTGCGAACCGCGACGGCGACGACGATGACTTTTTGCTGCAACCGTCGTAGGTATTTGCTACGTTCGGCAACGGGTTTTGTTACATCTGTTCGTCTTTAGAATGCAAATGTTGCTACCTGCAACAGCGAGCTACAACCAGCGACACCGGTTTTGAGTCATCTTTGTGGTAGCCTAAGCATCGGAGACATCGATGAAACAGTCAACATGGATGTCTGATACAGAGCTTCACCTTTTTTATTGAATGTTGCAACCGCCGCGCGAGATGCTACATCCTGTGACAAGGGATGCTAGAACCGATACTTTTTTTGCTGGAACCAAATGAAGACGACGATTTCTGCTGCCACCGCCATCGGATTTTGCTACAACCTGCAAGGTTTTTTGCTACATTCATCCACGGCTGAGTTGCGACCACGCGACGGCGGCGACAAGATTTTGTTGCAACCATCATGGATTTTTGCTACGTACGACGAATTATTTTGCTACGTCCATTCACGTCGGAGCTCCGATCATTCACGGCGACGGCGATGATTTTGCTGCAAGCATCGTAGATTTTTGCTACGACTGGCCATATTTTTTGCTACGTCCATTCATGGCGAGCTGCGACCTGCGGCGACTCCAAAAGCACAGCTACAACGACGAACGGCTGCCCGGGACGAGGACCATGACGCCGCGGCAGCTGCGATGCTGTGGATGAGGCTTTTTCATGCTGGAACCGGCGAGGATTCGTGCTACAAGCTCCATAGATCGAATTTTTTCGAGCGCGAGTAGGTTGTGTGAGGGCGGCGAGCAGAGGCGAGCTCGGGGTCTGCAGCGGTGCTTCGGACTCGGTCGCCTGCGGGAGATTACGGCGGGGTCGACGGCGCTGCAGCCTCCTCTCACTTTCATGTGCGGCCGTGCAGTATTTTCAGGAAGAGGATGAAGAAGACAGACGAAGCAAGGAAGCACATCCGATGGCTAGCAGTCAATGTATCACACAGAAATCGTACGGTCATTGGTTGGCCGGCTGAATCGTTGCGCCGGTGCGGTTGGCGCGCGGCCAGAATCGGTTCCCACCCTAGTTAACTTTGGTCCGCGGCCAACACTCTTCTGCTTTGTTCCTTCCTTGCTCGTCTGTGCTTCTACAGAGTACAGAGTCCATCCATTGCGTACGCACTCCTAGTACTACGTACAGCCCGTGTGATGTGACTGGGAAAGTACGTACAGCCCGTGTATAAATACGGAGGTTGATGCTTTCAAGTTTGAAAAACCGGGCGTGCAAGGTGGTTGGCGGATCCACGTCGGGATTCGGAGCGCCGAAGACAAGGCTAGGGGCTAGGTATGGTAGGGCGAATCCGCTATGCGTGTCGATCCATCGGTAGAAAAATCCGAAAACGCCTCCACGGCAAAGCGGAAAAGAGCAGAGTGCATGGGCAGGCAAGGCACCGCCGCCCGTTGCTCGTTCGTTCGCCGCGGACCCCCAAGGGTCAAGACGGATGGCCATCTCTCGCGGCGGCGGCGCGACGGCAGAAGAAAGATGCAGCCGGAATTGCCTGCCTGCCATGGCCACTGTAACAGGAGCTCGGGGCGTACGTGCGCAGCACCGGACGTCGAGCCGCCGCAGCTGCAGAGTACAGATACCACTGCCAACAGGTGTTGGCGAACAGTTCCTTCCTATGCATGCAGGTCGTGTCTGAGAGCTTTTAGACGAGCGCTAATCGGGTGGGCACCTCGGTTTCGTCTGCAGTTCGGTTAATCATCATGGCATGGCAACATGGCATGGATTTTGGATTCCCCGGGCCGGCCTCATCTTCTTTCTGGTCCACCGCTAGCGCTAGGGCACTGACTGCTGGATGCCCCAATCAAGTCTACTGCACGTATGATTCTGCCCGCGTTATTCCATACACGCATGGCAGTGGCGCATCATGATGGCTCTCGCTGCGCTGCCCAGCCTGTAAGGCTGCGTCGTTACCTGCCCTCGTGAGTAAGTGATAACCCTAGTACCACTCTATTTAAGCAAGACGCCGGTGATGCGCATGTGTTCTCTGAACGAGGGTGATATGCAGGATATGCATGTGTTCTCTGATCGAGTAGTAGTACGTTGAAGGAAATAAGAGGTCGCACTGAACCATCTGTGTGTTCTAGAAAGTGACTTTGGTCGTTGCAGAATATGTAGTTTTGCCATTTGATTCGTCACAAATAGTACTCCCTCCGTTCCTTTGTAAAGATTTCACTATGAATCACATAGTGATGTATACAGATGCATTTTAGAGTGTAGATTCATTCATTTTGCTCCGTATGCAGGCCATAGCGAAATATCTATAAAGACTTTTGTATTTGGGATCAGAGGGGGTATCTTCAAATTATGGTTTATCAGTAACGGCCCAAGGTGTATGTTTGAAGTCTCTGAGACCATCCTAACCTCCAGAAATTCATTTGTTTGCCACTGTAAAAAGGCAGTACTATCTAATTACAAGAGTAGAAAACGAGAAGGAGCTCACAACTGTGATACCTGCGAAAGCACATCTTCATTTCGTTCTCTGGGGAAGTAGGCTAAATGCTCCTCTGGTCTCTTTATTAAGGGCAGCAACGACGGTTCAGTCGGAACGAACAACAGTATTTACACAATGTTATCAAGCTGAACAAAGACCACGAGCATCGAAATTATGACTAAATGAGGGCTAAACTCCGGTGAGATCCATCCTAAACCTGTCCTCAAAGTTTCAGAAAAAAGGAAAAAAGTGTTTGTCTTTCAGAACCATAAGCTAACCAACCAATCTTCTGAATTCAAAACTCCAGCTCTGAACCCGACCACTCCGACGAGAGAAACTAGCTCTTATGCTCGATCCGTATGTGGAACCTCGGCGTTTCAGATGTCGGCGTGCTCCACATGCCGTTGGTGGCTCGACGTCTCCTGGTTCTCCAGCGGCATGTACTGCGCCATGATCGCGCGGATCTCTGAATCCATGTAGCTCTGCCATGGCATTATTTGGTAACAGCAAAAATGTACATGAGCCTCACATAAATCAGTGCAAAGTCTTTTGCAGAACAGAGTACTAGGAGCGATCATGTTTGAGCATTTTACCCGTAGCCGATATTTGTAGACGGCGTATGCTCCAACTCCCGCGAAACCGAGGCCGAAGAAGATGACCCACATGAAACCCCATCCCAGCGACGAAGTCGCGACCTTGCCTGCACCGGTACCGGAAAAAGCGTCAAATTAGCGCATTGTTATTATAGACAAAGGAAGGACCGTTTGAAGGTGCTACTAGCACATTCCACATTAACACCTTTGAAAGATAAATTAGGAACATGGTGAGACCTGGACCATATATATAGTGAGGTCCCAAAGGAAATTCAGGCTAGGCAACTCACTGATGCAAGTGTCATGCTCTCTCATGTATAGCATGTTGCTACCACCGCAGCCACACTCGTAGCTTCCCCATGTGTTCTCGCAGCTGCAGTCCTTGCACTGGCAGAAGAGCCTCTCTTTGCATTCATCAACATCTGCAAGCGCCAAGCAGAGAGGTACGTATTAAATATGAAAATTTACTTAAGAATATGCAAACATGGTTGTGTAACAATGTTGTTTCTAATGGCGATACCTACCTTCGCAACCGTGTATGCCGTCGCCCTTGAATCCTTGCGGACATTTGCAGCCCTTAGCTTGCTCATTCTGCAGATTTCCAAAATTCAGTTTTGTACTGCACACAGAAGCCATGAGAAAGAAAACTGCAATCTGAAAGAGATGATCTTATACCGAGCAGGCAGAGACAGACTTGCCGTTCCTGGTCTCCTTCCAGCAGCCTCCGTTGTTGATTTGGCATCGACCGACACCAGAAGCTGCCAAACCCATGAACGCATAAAAAGGGTAGCTTGTATGAAGATCATTTTGATTCAGTGGAGAAACAAGTTTACCTTCACAATGGGTGTACCCGTCGCCAACGAACTTGACGCCATTGACAACCGGGCACTCGCAAACCCGCCCACGGAAGGTATCCTAGGAGAAGTTACCCATGGAATTAGAACAAGGATGAGGTAACAATGTGAGCAGCACTTTTCAAGTGAAGTTCACTACCTTGCACGCCGTGAAATTAGTGTTTTTGTCCAGCCAGCAACCTCCATTGTTTTCCAAGCACTGGTTTGTTTGTATGTCTATGCAAGAAGATATGAAGCCCAAAAATTATAAACCATGAAGAACGAAATCCAGGCAGGTTTATTCAACAAACAACAAAAAAGGTGCAAACCACAAACCTTGAGTCAAACAGATGTCGGGTTCGGTCGTCTCCTCAAATCCCGAGCATATCGCTCGTAGCACCGCCCTTTTATCCAGTTTCCCTAAACAGAAATTAAAATAAACACACGTTGAAAAAGAAGAGTAAAACATATATAAACAAGGGAACATTGAGCTGAAAAGAAATGAAGAGTGGGAGAGTGGACGCACCTCTGTACTGTCTGTTATTGACGACGAAAGTCGGCAGTATGGTAACATCCCCTCGAGCACCATGGCCAATCTGAAGGATCAAAGGCATAAACATCAGTCTGCCATCAACCAACGAATCTGCTATGGCTTATATACGAGTTTATCATCAAGAGACTCACTTGAGCATCTTGCTCTGCTTTGAGCACCGGATTGTCTTCGTCGGCGTCGGGGTCTCCGACGCATTGGGTAATCTTGTCAATGTCCATCCCTGTAAAACAAAAACCGCAAACATAAACAAATGGCCAATCATCACCACAAACAAACAATAGAGAGTATATATCATAACGAACAGAGTCAACCACACGCACCAAGCGACTTGATGACACCATGAGCACAATCGGTGGTGTACTTCTTCTCCTTCATGGGGCACCGGATGGCGAAGTCGTGCACATAGTCCCACCACAGCCACGGCTTGCGGCTCTCGTTGGCGACCTTGAAGAGGCAAATCTGGATCAGGTTCTGCACCACGACGTCCTTGCCGTCGTACCCGGTGGTGAAGTCCTGCTCGGGGTCGGGGGCGCAGTAGCGGCCGTGGTTGACGCACTGCGACCGGCACTGCGCGCTCAGGACGAAGGCCTCCGGGCAGTACCAGGTGATGTAGTGCGGCGCGAACTGGGTGTAGCCGCGCTGCTCCAGCACCTGCGCCACCCCGCGGAAGTCCCGGACGAAGCTCATCTGCATGTCGCACTTGGCGCCGCACTCGTCGTTGCTGTTGGTCCAGAACTCGTACTCGACGCGCTCGTCCGGGTGAGGGAGGGACTCTCGCCAGTCCAGGAGCACGTTCACCATGTCGCCGTTCTCGAGGGCGCCCTTGAGGTCGTCGCCGAAGCGTTTGGAGACTAGGGCGGAGGGGACGGTGATGTTCTCGAGGTGCTCCTTGCCGCTGGACTCTGGGGTGTCCATTGTGATGAGGGGCTCTGCTCTGTCGTCGGCGACGAGCACCGCGGCGGCTCCGGCCGTCTGCGCGTTCCATCCCTTGGTTGTGAAGTAGCAGTCTGCACGTTGCAAGGAATTTAAGCACTCTTCTTGGTGATGACTGAAAACAGTGCTAGCCAGTGAGGTTAACACAGTTAAGAGGTACTCAAAATAAGAATATAAGATAGGAAGATAATGGATTTGAGATGATATTACTATCATGGCATTTATCTGCTTTGTTCAACAACTATGGCTGACTGGTATTATGGCACACCTAATCAAACTCGTTTTATGATGATGGCGTTGTGGTAGTACAGATTTCCTTCTTTTGGACATTACCCTTGTTGATTCTATTTCGCTACACAACTCAAAGTGAATTTCTTATCTATTGCAAGATAGGGAAAAGCATTTTCTGAAGAGAGGTATATGACACCAGACATTGCAGGAAACAGTTCGAGGTGGACGGCCAAATTAGTTCTGTCCCTTGACAGTGGTAAGATCCCCATTCCAACACACGACAAAGATGTGCTAAGTACCTGATTTTTATATAATGCAAGATGGGCCAAGTAGCTAACTGAACACAGTTATGCAACTATGCAGGTACCTGTGCCAAGAACCTCTCCACTCAAAGAACATGAGCAAAACATGTGCTATTTCATCAGGAAAGTAGGACCAAACTACATACACCAAAATGTCCAACGGAAGGAAAAGAGGGGTCCCAACTAACCATCCGAAACCCATTTCCTTAACATGGCATTACATAGCTTCGTCGTGCCGTGCCGCGCCGCGTCTCTCGCTGACGAAATTAATTCACTCCAAGAACATGACCAAGACTGAATCCATTATTTTCACATACATACTATGAACAGAAGCCATAGATAACCATATTCTCCAAGGTCCAAATCCTATTGCCGGGTTCCCATTTTAAAACATGTGGACTCTTAATTAACATCTACTCGTAGCTAGGGAGAATGAGGAAGCAGGTGTATTGAACCATTCGTGCATGCAGTCGGCCGTAATTGCTAGTAGGACAGATTAATTAAAGGGAAACGCACGCGCACCGCCGGTTAAATCACAGGATCGGTCTGACCAAAGTGCAAAGTGGGATGAAGAAGGAGAAGAAAAGAAACCTCCGCGGTCGACGAGGAGGAAGACGGGGAGGCCGCCGGCCTTGGGGTTGAAGGAGAGGCCGAAGTCGGCGAAGGGCTTGCAGGCCTTGGTGTTGGCCTTGGGGTAGACGACGACGCCGTGCATGGTGCCCCCGTACTGCGGCATCCCGAAGTTGCCGATGGCGCACTCGTACACGCCCCGCAGCGCCGCCGGCGACGTCACCCGCAGGCTGTTCTTCTCCACCACGAACCTCCCCTCCACCGCCGCCGTCGCCGCCAGCGCCAGCACCACGAGAAGAAGAAGAAGAAGCCGCGTCCGCACCCATCGCCGCCACCCCGCCGGCGGCGATCTCCCTCCCATGACACCTCGCTTGATCGGCGACCCGATCCCTCTCTGGCCAGATGCCGCACGACGATGGAACACGAGCAGGGCGTGGAGGGTCGATGGACGGATCGATGATCTCGGGGAAGAGAGGAGGGTGGCGTCTGAGCGGAAAAGGCGAGCGTGGGTTGAGTGGCAAGGGCGGATGGATTTGACCGGGGGTTGGGAGGGAGAGGAGGAGGGAGAGAGCAGTGGAGTGAGAGAGAGAGAGAGAGAGAGAGAGGAAGGGGGAGGGCGAGGTACGTGGCGGCCTCCTCGTGTGGGGGTTGGAACGCTTCCAAGCCTCCCGCCTTTTGCTTCTGGTGTGTGTTTGTGGCCGTGTCCGTGCTCGCGCGCGCGCTGACGGGGAAAGCCAGCGCTTTTCCGGACGCTGTCATGCTCATGCTCATCCTCATCCGACGAGAAAGACAGAGAGCGTGCCGTGCATTGCATGCATGTGTGGCGCGCGTGAGAGAGGCGGCACCGGGCGCCTTTGTGTGTGGAGCTAGCAATGGGGTGTGGACGGCCAGCACCGATCGGCAGTTCGGCACATCGGGCAGGTAGATTTTCCTTGAGCTAGCAATGGGGTGTGGACGGCCAGCATCGATGTAGTTTTTTTTTTTTTGAAGTAGGCGCGGCGGGAGCTTTTTTTTGGGAACATGACTCTACACACCAAATATGGTTCGAGTCGGTGCGTTACCCGTGTGCGCCTTTGTAGGAGTAACTGAGACTACAAAAGTGTAGAGAAATGTGCTAACATTTGGTACACATCGTTCTCAACTTTTTCCCTTTTTAGAGGAGAGCACGTAGTTATAGTTGTGTCAAGTTCTACATGTGATTTCAATCTCTGAGTTTCTTAGAATCTTGGAAGGGCCAAGGTGGAGGTACTGTCATACGCTTCACGTTCGCGGTGAGTTAGTTCAAGAAATGACACCGGGCTGAACACAAAACACCATGCAAGAGCGTGAGTTTCCTGCTCTGAGACAAAGCTCACTCTTTGGTGACCGTAGCAAGAGAGGAGAAATAAACACGAGCACAGTTTCTTTTCTCTGTGACGGCAAATAAAATTTACATGATCATTCCCCTCCCATGGTGAGGGTTACATGCAACGCAAGAGGAAACCTACATCTGGATGGGAAATCAAACAAGGGAACACGAGGGTCTTGTATATTATTGGCTGGGTCATCCAAACTCAGAGAATCGTCCTGAAAATGTAGGCATCAAAAGTTGCAATGTATGACACTCATGCCTCTGGCTCGGGCTTCTCAAAGAAGGTCTTCTTGATCCAGTCGAATGGCTGCAAAGGAAAATCAAAAGGATCTTCAGAATCATGTAGACCGAGAAACTGAAACTAATAGTGCGATGGTCATGACAAGAAAATTCAGAAGAAAAAACAGATTAACAGCAAAATTATGACTTTGAGATGGGTTAATGAAGATGCAAGATACTGTATTTGGAATTGATTAAGCAACTTATAGAATGGTTTAAATAGAGTAAACACAAACAACATAGGCACACCATGGATCTTCATCATGATTTTAGTTCCAGCTTTCACAAATACAGAAAAGACCAGGCATCACAGGGGACAAAAGATGCGAGGAAGAATTTGTGTACCAGACAGACAGACTCGCTCAGTGCGTAAAGTAGCTAAGCCAAGTCATTTAAGTTGCCTCAATCATTGAATGTTCAGTATAGCAGAATGGATGCTTAGATTTTTGGCAAGAGGAGAGGAAATAAAGTTCCATTCGTCAAAAGGCAGAAGGTACCAGTTTCAAGCAAAAGAAATCAGATTGTTTGGTTTTAAAGCTCGCCACATAGCCCGTAAAACATACACTGAATAGGACGTATAGAATTAGGTATCTGAGTTCATAACAGAGAGGGCAGACAAAACAATATGAAAAAAAATACACGTACGTGCTCCAAATTTTCATAACAGTCAGAAATAGTGGAATACACCAGACTATGTATTCAACAGAAGCGCCTTCTTAGAGAAAAGCAACTATATTGACCATGTTTGAGACCTTCCTGGAGCTAACACGCACAACACACATCTTAGTTATGTGAAACTAAAGGTAAAGAAATCAAGGTGCCTCACAGAAACTATCAGAGGGAGTGAAAGTTAATTCATGACACCAAGATAGAACAATTAGAACTATATGCATTAGAAATTTAGAATGTAGCTAAACTGAAATTGTACGTTGCATCCACATTGTCTTACTCTGTGTCAAGTGTTCTAACATGTACTCCCTCCGTTCCTAAATGTAAGTCTTTGTAGATATTTCAATATGAACTACATACGGATGTATATAGACATAATTTAGAGTGTAGATTCACTCATTTTGCTCCGTATGTAGTCCATATTAGAATATCTAAAAAGAGTTATATTTAGAAACAGAGGGAGTAGAAGCTTGTGCTGTGCTAAACTTGGTTGTCAAATATCATGTTAGAATGATGTAGATGTGACACTAGCTAATTCAGCATTTGTCCTGAGACATGGTCCATTTATTGCAGAAAGTTCCTATCACGAAGACACCTTAAACGCACGGGTTCGCAAACATAAATCTGTTGCCATCTCAAAATCACTTGGTCTTCTCCTTAACCGTATGCTATCCTACCATACAATGGAGCACTAATTATATCCAAAGAACAAGTTTTACCACGTACTAAT